GAAATTTATGTTGTGCTTCCTGATAATATTGCCTAAAGGGAGCATGTATAAAGTGAAGAGAATTGGACCTAACACAGAGCCCTGTGGAACACTGTGACTAACTTCAGTTTGTGTGGAACATTCGTCATTAACATGAACAAATTGAAATCTTTCTGATAAATAAGATTTGAACCAACTTAGCGCAGTTCCTTTAATCCCAATAACATGTTCAAGTCTCTGCAGTAAGATGCTGTGATCACTGGTGACTGCCATGCACATAAACACCAACTGCTAATGTAACTAGCTAGCTAGCAGGGGGTGCCATTCACCAATAATCCGAGGCAGCAACTAAATAAACAATGACATAGAACTAACGTAATATTGTGGTGAACAACATTGTAAATATTATCCTGGGTGCTGACATCGCTAATACTGATGATGTCATCATGCGAAAAGTGGCTTTGATGTTGCAATTATATATAACACTGTACAACAGCGAACTGAAGAAACACTCAAACTTTAACACTGAGTATTTTTACATATATTTTACTGTGCTTTGCTGGTTAGATAACCCTTCAACCCCGAGTGCAGATTGCTACTGTATTTCTGTGGTAAACCTAGACAAGTGTTTTTACTAAGTAGCTTTAAGAGAACAGAAAATGAGTTGTATTCAACAGACCAACCATTTTCCGGATTCTATGGACAGTGATAATGATACAGAAATTTATGAGTATTCATATGAGACAATGAGCAACTGCAGTGCTACAACTGTGAGCATACAGGCAATAACCCAACAGCTTGAAGCAGTGCGCCTCCAAATTCAGGAGCTCAGAAAACAGTGTCACAACACTGAAAGTTTGCAGAAAAAATATGAGCAAATGAAAGCAGAAGAAGAGGCTGCAGCGCCCTTCAAAATGAATTGAAGAACCTCTGTGGTGAGGTCAAACCAAACAGCTCTTTGGATGCAGTGTTTGAAGATATGAAGTCATCAAAAGAGGCACTGGACCGTCAAAATCACACTCTGCGACAGCAAATTCAAGACATCAAGGAGAGACTAAATGTCACAGAGGACATGTTTCTTGCAATAAAAACAGAAGGTCAAGCTGTGAGACAAGAGAATGAGGAGCTCCAGCAAGAACTTAAGCGCCTGCAGGAAAAAATCCAAAGTGAATCTGCTTTGGAGGAAAAGTGTGCTGCCACGAAGAAGAAGGCAACAGAAGGAGTGAGCAAGCAAAACAGAGCCATACAAAAGGAAATCCTGGGGCTCAAGGAAAGATATCAACATGTCAAAGCTTTGGATGAATTCTACAATGTCGCAAAAGCAGAGAAAGATGCAATTAGCCAGCAGAATGATGCTTTGTGACATGATATTCAGGAGATCTGCAAAGAGCTTCATAATGAAAAAGCTTTGCATAAAATGAACAATGCATAAAAGTGTCACAAAAGGCCTTGAGTCACCAAAATGATGCCCTGCAGAAGGAACTCCAGGATCTCAATAAAGAGTATGAAAATGTAAATATCTTAGGAGACCAGTGTAAGGAACGTATGTCTCGCATGGAGGCTTTGAAGAAAGAAAACGACAATTTGCAACAGCAAATCCAGGTCGTCAACAGACAGCTCCAAATCAAGAAAACTTTAAAAGCAGGATATAAAGAACTGGAAGCTGAGGAGAAAGCCATTCAGGCACAAAGCAAAGTCCTGATTAAAACACACAGTGAGCTCTTCAAAAAGCTTTTAAATGAAGAAGACTGGACTTACAAGTGTGACATGCTGAAGGAGCAGGTGGATGCCTTGAAACAAAAAAATGAGAGAATGGCTAATGAAATTCAGATTTTCAAAGAGCAGTTGGAAAATCTGAGGGCTTCTAAGGCAAATCATAAGTCACTGAAGGCAGAGAACAGGGCTCTCATTGACCAAAACAGCATTCTACAAAAAGAACTTCAGAAGCTGGGGAAGCAGCTTTCAAAGGAGCAAGCCTTAGTAGAAAAGATTAATGCAATGAAAGAAAAGAATGATGCCCTGGAAGAAGAAAACAATCTCCTGTACAGCAAGACTGATGCAGTCTACTGCTCACTCCAAGGTGAAAAAGTTATTGGCATCACCTATGATTCAATGAAACTGACGAAAAATGCCTTGAGCAAGCAGAATGAAGCTCTACATAAACAACTCCAGAAGCTTCGTAAAAAACTGAAATAAGAAAAAGCTTTGGAGGAGAGGTGTACAACAATGGAGGCAACAAAAGATGAACTCCACAGACAAAATGACGCATTAGAAGAAGAAATCCAAGAGCTGAGTGAACAGCTTTAAAGAGCTCTGGAAAGCTGAGGCCTGATAGGGTGGTAACACTTTTAACACCAGCTTCAACTGAGAGCGGTGTCTGCTAGTTATTTAACAAATTTGAATGATAGCCTTTGGTAACATTAAAGTAAACAAATTGATCAATTAGGCAATACATTTTACTAAATTACATGACCTGGCAGACATGTCATGTAATTTAGTAAAGCTAATAAATGAATCAATCTGGCAAAATATTTTACTAAATTACATGACCTGGCAGACATGTCATGTAATTTAGTAATATGAGAGCAAATAAACAAATTAATCAATTAGGCAATATGCTCTACTAAAGTACATGACAGACATGTAATTTAATGACAGCTTCAGTGAATTATAGGTGACAGACATGTTGTAATTTAGTAGAGCAAATAAGCAAATTAATTAGGCAGTAGGGCAGCACAGCGCCACAGTGGTTAGCACTGTTGCGTCACAGCAAAAAGGTTCCGGGTTCGAGCCTTTCTGTGTGGAGCTTGCATGTTCTCCCTGTGCCTGCGTGGGTTTTCTCCGGGTGCTCCGGTTTCCTCCCACAGTCCAAAAACATGCATATTGGTGTGAGGCGTGTTCTTTTATTTTGAAAAGAGAAGACTAACAAAAGGATATATATTTCACAGTGTGAAATTTATTATGCATTAATGTATCAAAATTAGCATGTGCACATGGATCTTCACTGTTTAGGATAAACAGAAAAGACTGTCCTCAACTTGTCAGTATACAATATTTGTATGAAAAGGTGCCGGCCCCTCGGCAGCTGCCAGCTCCAGGGCCGCTGCCGGGCCATCGGCCGCTGCCATGGTTTTGTCAGATTTTGTTACCTATCAAGACGTGCTACCCACCGTTCACAAAGTGGTTAGGGTTAGGGGGGTGGATCGGGGTGGGGTTAGTCAGTCCATAACTGCGCATGCGCAGAACCTAATGCGCATGCGCAGACAGTTTGGGTATGGAATAATGACGGGTATGAAGATTCAGCAGAACACCGGCTCCATGGCCGCAATCAGTTCCTCAGCTGCTGTTAGCATAGCTGTGTTTCTCTCAGCTCCACTTTTACTGTGGCTCCGCATACACATACCTCTCACAGCTTTGCACAGTGTATTTGTGCCCATGTTGACAGCTATTAGTTTGTCACAGTTGGGTTACGGCTTGTTACTTTCAGAGTCTCTCAGATGGAAACTTTGGATAAGTTTCCTACAATGTGCAGATGAAGCAGGAAGGAGAAATGTTTTACTCCTCTTCTTTTTCTTTCTCTTAGGTGACATGGCAGGCTACTGAACACCTTAAGCGGTGTATGCCGCCACCTACTGCAGTATGAGTGGATGATGAGGGTGATGATTCTGCTGCTTCTTCTATTGGCACAGTGATACAATACAACAGCCAGGTTTTAAGCTGTTAGAGCTTTTGAATTAAACTTAAGTAAAAATGTGTAGTCATACATTAAAGAGGTAGATCCCTGCACACAATCGGTCTGAATTAATTTACATATTAATTCCATTCAATGGCAAGATTATAACCAACTGTGTGTGATGTATTTGATGGGAAGTGTGTGGTGATCCTGATTTCTGACTTCATTTAAATGCAAAAAGTGGACGGCATCAATTCAGTCAGTTTATAGTGTACATGAACGGTACTTTCCAATTTAATGTGATTCAGCACACCTCTACCATATCAGACTTAAAAACAAGAAAAGAGAAGTGGGGTACAATATTTACATATTGTAAATATGGGAACATAAATGATAGAGTTGTAAACTATGCAGTTACACAGGGGCTCAATTCGAAACACAAACCAACAACTTAGCAATGAACATTTATTATATAGTATCAGAAATTCTAGCCCACCCTAAAACATCCAGATATGAACATAAAGACCAAACACACACAAACAGGCGTGTCAGTAATATTTGTGCAACACTGTCTACGAAGTCAGAAGCCCGAATAAGTCTTTGTAAGAGATATGCGCCTTCTCATCGATAGTGAGTGCTGCCATCATCTCATCCATCTCAACCTGAGTGAAGGGTTCACCTGATATAAAGACAGCAATGAGCAAACAACACAGCTGTGGTTAAAAACAGTTCCTACATTACAAGTTGCTTGGTGGACGTAAGGGGAAATATCTGCTGCTTTTACCCCACCAGGTGTAAACTGAAAGCTTCAGTGTTACCTTCCTTTGTCATGTAATTTGACAGCTCCTCACGTTCCAGGTATCCTTTCTTTTCTTTGTCCAGAACCTGGAAACACAGTGCAAATGTTGTTTTAATAAGTATCAGCAACTAAGACAGTGATATTAGCATCAATCTGCTCTAAGAGTCTCTAACTACTACTCCTAAAGTACAAAAATACTGGAGAATACACAAGAAACACCATGTGGTCTCACCTCAAAGGCCTGAAACAGACGTTCCTCAGGAATGGGAGGAAACCTAACACACACACACACACACACACACACACACACACACAAAAAAAGCTGGTATCTGTGTCCTTTCCCTGTGGTTCGAGAGTACCAGCATGTTAGCAATTTTCAAGTCTAAACTACTGCCTATCAATAACCCTGAATATGTCTAAATCCAAATTACAGCATCTGTCACTGTAGACTACACAACTGTAAAAAGTTAAATTTTCCATTTGAATCAGATGAGCATCCTTAAGCACAGGAAAGCAAAAGCTTAAAAGTCAAATGTTCAAAACACAGCACAGTGGTAGTGTTTGACAACCTTTACACAGTACATCTAATCTGTGAAGCACCGCACTAACAACCTCATTACCTTTACCGAATATTAAGCCAATCTGAGCAATCCATACCAATGAAGGCCATTCATTTGCTCCATAAGTAACACACATGATTGGCATTAACACGAACACCTGTTTTAGCCATAACATGGCCTTCTTCCCACTCTCCAACCTCAGTGTGTTCATATTACTTACAGATAACAACATGAATGGCATCTGTCTAAACCAAAGTATACACAGGAGGTAACTGTCTTACCTGTTCTCCAACAGCACTTTGGTCATGGCTGGGAGGAACTTGGATATATGGATAAATCCTGCGCGGTCCTCTTCCACCTGGTCGAACGGGACATGGCCACAGGGAATAATTAAACTTATAAAACTGGCTGCTTATACATATCGCCATGTGAAAGTCAAGAACACTTTCTCTATATGTCACACTTTCTAGACATACATCATATTGGCTCTAATTTTGCATTTGCAAAGGTGCAGTAGATTCTCAAACATGACTCTGGAATGATTTTACAAAGACAATTCAGAAACATATGAAGCATTAGAATCCTTTTTTAAATGTGCACGTGAGCACTGACTGCTTGTTGCATTTCAGTGATTGTTGATGAATTCTGGTTAAAATATAAGGAGACAGTTCTGACCTCAGCTATAAAGTCATGTAGGTCTTTCTGAGTGGGGAAGCAGCCCAGAGAATAGATGATGGTGCCAATCTCCCTAAAAGCAAACAACAGGAAATGAACAAAAGTGCTTGAGCTAAAATCACAACTTCATGTTAAAGACCATTTGTGACAGCACTTATCTCCCTGTGTGGTCTAAGTCCCACAAGCCATTGCTTGGCCTAGTCCTCCTCTACCAGCTTTATTCCTCACAATCAATGAGCTCTGTTCTCATCTCTTTCTAAAAACTGCATTATCTCAAGTGGTAAATCAAAGGTATTTCAGTTTACTCCCCACCAAGGAGAATAAAATCAACTGGGAGGTACTTAAATGTGCTACAGGTCAAAATGGATGTAGTTTTCCTCATAAACTACACCTTCATTCTGTTCACTCAGTGTACTTTTATTCTCTATGTAAAGCCCAGAGTGTCATTGCTGGTGTGAGACTCAGTGGTTCTTGTTATGTTTTCACTGTCTGAAACTACGGGATGTGACCTAAATGTTTCAAAGGAATGTTTTAATCACTGGTGGAAAGTAAATAATTTTAATCATTGCTCTTTACATGAGTGTTTCCAAATTATTTTATATTTCATGATTATATTATTTAGATGTTATATCATTTAGATGTTTTTAAACTAAAAAAGACCAAAAATTCATTAGTACCGGCTTCTCACGTGGGAATATTTGCTGGTTGAGGCTAGTGTTGGGTTTTTAATTTGAAGGTGTTAACTTAGGCTCCAGGAAATAATGATGGGTATTTTTCACTATTTTGTGGCATTTTAAACACTGAACAAGAACTTGATTATTAAAGAAAACTGACAGATATATTGATAATGAACATTACTGTTAGTTGAAGTCTCACATTACTGTGATGAATTGTGACCTTCCCCCAGTTTTTTAAACTTATTTGACACCGGGAAAATGGAGGCAAATTATACAACACAGCTTTAGTTAGACTATAAAAATAAATGAGCTCCATATTAACTAAAAGAATTAAATTAGATTTTGCCAACAACATCCCTGTACTAGACAGGGTCACAAGATGAAGGATGGGGGGCCATAGGAGGTGATTGTATTTCAAGTGGAGCAACAAATCTCCAGTTAAACAAAATATGTAAACCCAAATGATACTGGGTAAACCTCCGGCTTTGGGGAGCTGTAGTTGCCAACCTTGCTCATTCCACCAATAGTGGAGCAGGATGTGAACGATCACTACTGTAGGACCTCACCGGACATCCACTGTGTTGTTAGACTTATAGTCAAACGCTTCAAACGCTGCTTTAATCTTCTTGTGGGCATCTGACACTATGCAACAAAAGACAACACACAGGAACAGAAGCTAAGTGTTAGCTTAGCTTTAGCCAGCCTCTTACTAATTCAGGTGTCTGGTTGCAAGAAAACACCGAAACATAACTTTGAAGACAAAATTATTATGGCACGATGAGGCTTTAGATAAACTGAAACGGCCCCTTTCATTGAGATGAGAATTGAACTCTCCAGATAAACTGTCTAAAACTGCCTAGTTAGCTAGCTCGCACAAACCTGCACTCTGCTTGTTCTCCGCCATGTTGTTACTCTGTCGCCTAGCAACCGACTGGCTTGACAAGGTATTGACAGGACGTAACGGACTAAACAAGCCAAATCTATAGCTGATAAAACTAAGTAGCCTACAGTTTTGATGTATCTATTTTTTTTCAGTTTCTGCTACTTCATACTTTGACTTCACCACATTTCAGAGGCAAATATTTTACTTTTTACTCCAGTACATTTATTTGATAACTATAACCATAAAACGTTATTGAGTCCTGGTGGGAAATTCACAAGCTACCCAGCAGTAGCCTACTTCATATTATAGGCATGTGAGATAGTTACAATTAACTCCACCTTTACAAGCTGCAATATTAAAGTGATGAACACAATAATGCATCAATAATTATAATACAATAATTAAATTGTCAATCAAATTATTTATTTGAAATGTGACAGTTTCATAATGAATAGGCTACTTTTACTTTTGGTACTTAAAGTACATGTTGGTGCTAATAATGTTGCACTTTTAAATAACATTTTGAATGCAGGACTTTTACTTGTAACAGTATTTTTACACTGTGGTACCACAGTAAAAGTAAAAGTAGCAATACGTATTGTTACTTTTACTTAAGTAAATAATCACATATGCTAAACTCTGAGTTCACCTATATGTTCACAACCTTTTCATGACCAAACTGTATGTTTTATTAATAAGACATCCAGACTAATAAATCCATACAAACCATTAATATGTTTTTGTTCTCAGCTTTGCTTATTTTATTTATTTATTTATAGTATAAAAATATATACAGTTTATAATGTGTGAGATAAGAGACAAAGCAATGGTAGCTTTATTGTCTCCAGTTCTATAAAGGCATAAGTGCTTAAAAAAGCAAACATAAAATTACACCAAATAGTAAACCCTTTCATACTGTAAATGCATGTTGCCTCCAATTTGAACAACAAACAACAATCCACATCTCCTGCTTTTGATTTTGCTTAGAGCACCTGACCCGTATCATTTTTAAACAGTATTTCTACAGGACACAGCAATTGAGTTTAGACCAAACCACAGGTGCCGTTTAAACCACAGAAATATGTGATTTTGTTCCAGGTTAAAATTAGTCTTTTACCTTAAACTGCAGCTTATGACAGAGCAACAGATCCCTACACAGCTATTTAGTTAGCATCACTGTCATTTTGATATTAAAAGGGGTTAGCTAAGTATTTTCATATTATTTTTGGTCTTCTTCTTCTTCTTTCAGTTGTTCCCGTTAGGGGTCACCACAGCAAAACATCTGTTTCCACCTAACTGTATCCTCGGCATCCTCTACTCTCACCCCAATTAACTTCATGTCCTCTTTTAGCACATCCATATATCTCCTCTTTGGCCTTCCTCTTGACCTTTTGCCTGGCAGCTCCATCTCCAACATCCTTCTACCAATATAACCACTATCCGTCCTCTGCACATATCCAGACCATCTCAATCTGGCCTCTCTGATCTTGTCCCCATTATGACTATGTAATCTCACTTATTGTTTTATCCATAAATTAAAGACAGAGTCCAGTAAAATGTCCTTTTACAGAACTTTTCCTGTGCGGCACGACTGTCACACAGGACAAAAAAAAAAAAAAAACCCCATAAAACC